ATCAATCAATCAGAGTCCTCTATTTCACAGAAAAAAGGAAATAAAGTATTTTGATTAGTTCATTATGCCTCATGTGCATTATGCAAAAGTCTGTGCTCTCTGCTTTAGCGTCACACACACTTTCCGTAACAGTGGCCTAGTTTCCACCGAGGGTTTAAACCGGATCAGAATGTAAGAACGAACCAACTACAGTAGAATATTCCCCTGTTACAGTCGAACGACAGGGGAATGCTCGACTGTAGTTGGTTCTTACATTATAATTCGATTTAAACTCTCGGTGGAAACTAAGCCAGTAACATTAAGGGTGAAATCACGGTACGGGAATCAGCATGCGGGACAGAGAATGCGTAATTCGAACAGCCAATCAGCGCTCTTCCGCATTTTTCTATCCCGTATGTCTTTCCCACGATTGACTGTTCGAATCACGCATCCTCTGTCCCGCATGCTGATTTCCGTATCGTGTAATTTTACCCTAAGGGTGCGATTATATGGAGCGCGGTACTCGGTACGTGGTATAGTAACTAATAGTAACTAATTAGGCAACTACGAAATTGCGTATCGTCTATTTCTTTTGTTAATATTACATGGAGCGCGGTTGCGGGCTAGTGACAAACTCACATTAGTATAAATTTTTTTTAATTGCGTTTAAATCCATAAAAAGTGCATAGCAACGTATAGTAATGTGAGTTTGTACTAGTCCGTGCCGCAAACCGCGCGCAAACCGCGCTCCATATAATATCAGCGAAAGAAATAGGCGATACATGGTACGCGGTTTTCTAGTTGCAGAACAAAAGGAGTCAAAACTTCTTTGTCCTCATTAATAAAATTTCAATCTTTAATCTCAATCTTCAATGCATAGTCTGATTCCGACCTAACGCATAACACATAAAGCATAAGAAATTCAACCAATCAGAGTTCTCTATTTCATAAAAGGGAAGGAAACGAAGGACTTTAATTAGTTTATTTTCTTATGCGTTACGTGTTATATATTATGCAAAAGTCTGTGCTCCCCGCTTAAGATTTTCGACCAATCGCGTTGCTCGATTTTTACGGTTATAGTTAGTAACCATTCCATACAAACTTGCATAGCCGCATAAACATATGCATAAAGAAAAT